TGGCGCTGCCGTGGCTCGGGGCTTGGCCGTTCCGTGCTGAGGGTGTAGCTGGTGCCTTGAAGCTGCTCTGAGGGGCGTCAGGGTCTGGAAGACATTGACAGAATCATCGAGGAAAGCTCGGAGACGGCGCCTTGCAGCCCGTGGTGCAGCTGCAGTCTTGCAGCCTGTTTTCTCCCCAAGGGCTGAAGCCTGCCGTTCCCCTTGTCTTCAGTCTCTGTGCTTTCTAAGCCTTGCTGGCGTTGTACTCGAAGAAGCTAAAAGAGAGGAGAGGGTAAAAATTCTTCAGAGCTCTTAAAGCTTGGTTTAGAAGTATGCTAAGCATGTATACACCACACAGCATAACATGAAGAACCTTGAATGGATGTTCCAACCTGCTTCTGTCTTCTGGAGAGAATCCGGGATGTGCACACAGTGTAGAATGTTATGTTCTGTTGCATGGGTATTGATTGTAACTGAAAACTTGAGAGGTAGTATAAAATGGTGTAGAGGAGAATTTTGAAGAGTCTGTCTGACTTATAGCCATTACACTGTTCTCATTGCTCTTTATAGCTGCTCTTATCCATCCAGTTGGCTAGCCAGTAGGTTCTTATGTGAGCAGCTAATTGACTTTAAGACCTCATAGACATCTTTTTTACCCTAATAAACTGATAGCAGGTGCTTCCCAGAAAAAGTAAGATTGTTTTAACAGTTCATCAATACTTCTGTACGATAAATGTGTTGAATCAGCTTCATGTTAGACTGTTAGCAAGTACAGTTGTAGGTGACACTTGTATGCTGACTGCTGTTAATTCAGACACCTAGCAGAAAGTTCTTACGCTAGCTGAAATTCTTCATGAGAGGTTGATGTGTGCTGTAAGGCAGTGTGCAGCAAAGATGACAGCAGTTTGCTGATGGGTATTGAGAGGTAAGACTATAAATACCCAGCGGTCCTCAAAAACGTGTTGAAGAGGGGAGGAAGATCAGAGAATTAAATATTAAAGTGAGAAATCTACCCTAAGGTGCTTTATAAGTGAAGCCATTAGGAGTGGGTTGGGTGACTGACTGTCTGCTTGTTCCTAGAGTATGGTGTGGCAGCAGTCTGCAGAGTGGTTGAGCGTCTCCAGCGCAAGAAGAAAGAAATCATGGAAGAGCTTTCTCCTCAGTAGCCTGACTTTTGGTTACCCCCAAAGCTGTGGAAGGCTTCTCTAAACTGAAATGTTGGAAGTACTTAGTAGTTAATCCATTCCTACGGAAGACCTTACACAGCATTGCCCTGTATGAAACCTCAAACCTAAGACTACTGATTTCTTTCCAACTCTGCCTCTGGTGCAGGTGTCTTGATACACGCGCCGAAGCTGGCAGTGTGCTGCTGGCAAACAGGACCTTTGGCTTGTATTCAGTCCCTTCATCAGCAGGGATTAGTGTGCATTACGTCCAGGAGGAAATTAACCCCAAAAGCCTTTCCACAGTGAAATGCTGGAGGGCTTCTCTGTTCAAGCCAGTGAATGGTTATTATGACTCTAAATCTAATAATCAGCTGCAGCATAGCTTCTGGTAGAAGTTTTGCTCGGATTTCTCTGCTAACTGGCCATCATCCTGGTTTCCTTTGTACACTGCTGCTTTTAGCTGAGGTGGTCCTCCTGATTCGGGGGGAGCGAGGCCTCTGCTGTTCCGGGGTGTTTACGTGCTCAGCTTGTGTTGAGATCGAGAGTACAGGCTAAGTGCTTTTAGCCTTACTGACTGAGCCATTAAATTTGATCAGTGAGCAATGTAAAATAGTTACTGAGCAAACAAGCAAGGGTGTTCCTGCTCAGCACCCTTGATGATATGATGCTGTCACCCACAGACCCCTGGAATGGAATCCGTTGGTTGCTTTGCAGGCGTATGCAATGGCTGGGTTTTAATTTGTACTTGGATACAACTCTGCTTTCCTCGTCTGTTCCCAGTGTGGAAATCGGTGAGAGCGTACGCGGGGAGGATGTCTACATTGTGCAGAGTGGCTGGGGGGAAATCAATGACAACCTGATGGAGCTCCTTATCATGATAAATGCATGTAAGATTGCCTCAGCCAGCAGAGTCACAGCTGTCATACCCTGCTTCCCTTATGCTCGGCAGGACAAAAAGGACAAGGTAAGGGATGTGGTAAAGGTTTCTACTGTGAAGATGAACGCATATCTCAAAAGTCCTGACTGCTGGATAGGGATTAGAGGAAGTTGAATATATAGAGGAGGAGATAAAACTTATTTTAATTTCTTTAAACCTTAGGGCATTGGACTGCAAATTCATCTTTTCATCAAGACCTAGTTTTTCTTGAAAATACACCAAGCTGTAATCACAAGCTGATGAAAAGATGCAATGTTAATGAGTACTCTTTTTAGTAACTGCTTGTGAATCAATGCCTGGAAGTGGAAGACTGACATCTTGGTGAAGGAGTTGAACTTGTATTAAATACTGTTTTTTCCTGTACTAGAGTCGAGCTCCAATCTCTGCCAAGCTGGTTGCAAACATGCTGTCTGTGGCAGGTGCAGATCATATAATCACCATGGACCTACATGCATCTCAGATTCAGGTAGGAGCTAAAATCAGAGAAGCGCTTACCTGCTCCAGTCTGAGCCTCTTTACTGCCTTGCAGGCTTTCCAGCGATCTGCTTTTTTTAGACAAAGCAGTGATCAGGAATTGGGAACCTGATCCTGGAATGGAGTTGTAGAATCAGTGAGAAGAGGATGGGGAGATGGGTAACAGGTTCATCTGTAAATGAAATTATAGCTGTTCTTGATCAGACTAAGCATAAGGAGTCCTGTGTAAATGAATGTTGGGCTAGTAAATGATCCATGCAACTTTATTGCCACTCAGTGACACTGTGTATTCTTAACTGGTCCTTTGAGGAGTTTGAGATGGAGAATGGCTTTATCAAGAGTGTTCTTAAATATTGAGTAGAGCTTTCTGTTATTTACTGAATTGTCAGGGAGAAGTGAGCAGTGCACTATTTGATGTAGTGGCTGGTAATGCTGCTGCCCTGCGGTTACCTCTGACTCCACAGAGGTACTGGCACAGCTGCTTGTGAGGTTGACCAGGATGGTGATCTGATAGCTTGCTGCTGATGAGATGGGCAATCCTACTTGTGTCCATTCAGTGCCACTCTTCCGCATAAGCTGGCTTTGGTTCTCTCCCAAGCTACTGATAAATTGAAATTTATTCATGGGTTTTGCTGGCTTAGTGAACAGAGCAATCTCACAGAGCAACTGAAATCTTGACCAGAGCTGTGTAAGTGGCAAGAGTGTATACCAGGGAGAGGAGAGACAGCAAGCTGCTAAATTGTCAGTCTTGTCATTTTCTACTGTGAGCAAGTGCTCCGAGATGGAGAAACCAACTCAGTGCAACAGAGGGGTGTGGCAGCGGGGAGGATGTCTATTGTATTGCTGCAAACGCTTTGAATCCAGAAGGGTAAGATATCTACTGCCTGGTGAAGTAGGTGGCCTTGATGTCTGCAGCCATTCACACTGAAGTATAATTTCTTCCAGTACAACTTGCCCAGAAATACTTTGTCTTGATGGAAAAAAAAAAAATAATCTATGAGAGCACAGCTGAGAAGACTTTCAGAAAGATCATGAAAGAAAAGAACCAAGCCCAAGGCGGCATGCCTCTTCCCCAAGATGCTTAAAGTCGTGATATGTGTTGTAGCATTGACCTTTCACCAGCAGCAGTGGTGGGATTCAGTTGAATAACTGGGTTTGTGTATATAAGCTTTCAGCATCTGGCTGGTTTCAGCCTGGTTCTTGTAGTTGCTGGGTTGCTGAGCACAGAAGGAATGATGGTAGGAAGGATCTGTTACCCCTGTACCTTGACGCGTTCCTCTAGAGTAGCTGCCCCCACTCTCCTGCCTCTATTACTCTCAGTCCAGGATTAACTTCTGGCTTTTGGTGACCTTTGAGGTTTACCTGGAGGAGTCTGCTGGGTCAGTGTAAAGTTGTGGAACCAGCTGCATTAGTTTAAAAACAAATGTTACTCAAGGTTTTTTCATGGATTTCCTGTACATGCAAACAGGGTAGGTAATGAGCTTTAAAGATTGACTTTGTAAACAGGCAGCTAGCTGCTCTGAAAATGAGTGTGTGATGCTGGTTTTCTGCACCCCCTTAGGACAGAACTAATTCCATGTTGTGAAAGTGTCAGATGTAAAATGTTTTTTATGCTGTTATTTCTGTCTCTGAAGACTTCTTACGTTACTGTTCTGTGTATTCCAAAGGCTACTGCCCTTGCATTAAGGGAAGTAGAAAGGAAAGCTGTGGAAAGGTGGTGGCTGCATGCCTCATCATATAGAATGCTTCTTCCAACTGTTTTTGGAATGTGACCTTCAGCTACAACTGTTCCTGTCATCTTCCTTGCAGGGTTTTTTTGATATCCCTGTTGATAACTTGTATGCTGAGCCTGCTGTACTGAAATGGATCAAAGAGAATATTCCAGAGTGGAAGAACTGCACCATTGTTTCACCAGATGCTGGTGGAGCCAAGAGGTAGGCTGTCAGACAGCTAGTTTGAGGTGCTGCTTCTATATCTACTTGGATTCCTGAGAGTGCTTGTGACCTGATTCTTAAGACACATGTTCCCTCTGCCAGCCTGCCTTCTGTAAGAGTCTGTGGCAGCAAGTGGAGAGTGGTCAGATATTCTTCCTGCGCAATGTTTAGAAGGTTTCTTGGGCTATATGGAGAATTAGATAGCTTCTAGAATCACAGCTGCTTAGGTAGGAATTGCACAATTACTACATCCCTTGGACTAAAACCATTTTTTGTGGAAGGATAATTATGCAGATTGAAGGAGGGAATCATGTAGCTCATACCCCTATGCCAAGACAAGGTTACTGCTGCTGGTTAATGATGGATTTTTATCCAGGCTGTTTTCATTACAGTGTTAAACTTAGTCTATTGAGGCATTTTTTTACTTTATTGCTTGTTGTTTGAATATCTAGCTGGGACTGAAGCCTGCTGCTACTCTTTCTCTTCCCTGAGAGCAAGGAAGATAGATGGTTCCTTTCCAGAAAGCAGTAGCATATGTTACAGCACATTTCTGCTTTGATAGGCTGACAATCTCCCATCTTTCTGCAGATAAATGTGCCAGTTTGTGGGCAGCTCAGAATGTTCTCAGGTGTTTATTAGGAGAAACTAGGCTGTTTCTTGATGCTTCTGTGTCAGGGCTACATGTGAACAGGACTGGCCCACCAAAATGTTGGTGTCTGCTGACCTGATTCACATACTTTAGAGTGTTTTAAACTATCTGTTATGAACAGCCAAGAGATATTACCACTGTAGGTTGCTGTATGTCTTCCTGTGGCTTTGTTTTGGCCCATGTGTTGGACAAGACTTTTTGTATATTTAACTGCTTCTATAGCTTCTTGCAGAATGCAGTATATGAAATGCCAAGTCAACCAGCTATAATCTGACTCATGGAAAAAAACTCTTCAAAAGCCACTTAAACTAAAAGGTGTCAATCTTAGATGTTGCAGAATTTTATGGAGATGCTGCAGAACTAAATACTTAGTAAACAATTTAGTTTAAGTCTTGTGTAGGACTCCCCAGGTGATGAGTCTGATCTACTGAGACTAGTAGTCTACTCATCTCAAGTGTAGAATTTCTTGGGGGCGTGTGTATTCTGTTCCTTCTCACTCTTAATGCTGTTAAACTCTTTACTGTTTGTCAGCATCAGTATATAAAGTTTATGTCCCTTGAGGAATGTTGTTCTTTGGTCACTTCAACCAAAGTAAATGTGAGGTGGTAGACCTGTGTTTCTTGAATGTGTAATCCTGCCACTGTCCTTGTGCTAGCACTTGTATGCGTGTCAACTGAGTGCTTATATGAGTGCGAGTAGACCCCTGTCACAGCACTACTGAAGCCTTTTCAGCGTAGTGTTATAAAGATGACAACTTCCCAAGCATTCTGATCACTTCAGGTTTGCTAAACTTGCTGGATAAGATTTATTTTGAGCTTTAGATCCACTTTCATTTACAGTGATCAGGATGAAGGACTGTTTTATCTTAGTCTAGTTGCTGTCATCGGGAGAGGATAGGTCAGAGACTGCAGTTTAACTGCTTGAAGGGAAACTAAGGTGGCAGTGTCTTCTATTAAATTGCTTGGGAGCAGTAACACATGTGGTGACAGCTTCTCTTACTGCAGTGGCACTTTATGCTTAACAGTTTTATGAGATTTGATTGAAGCTGTTGTGTGGAGTTAAGTGTTGTTTGAAATGTTCTCTCTTCAGAGTGACCTCCATTGCAGATCGATTGAATGTAGACTTCGCCCTCATTCACAAGGAGCGCAAGAAGGCCAATGAAGTGGATCGCATGGTGCTGGTGGGTGACGTGAAAGACAGAGTGGCCATCCTGGTAGATGATATGGCAGACACATGCGGTACCATCTGTCATGCTGCGGACAAGTGAGTAGGGCTGACTGATTCTTTCCTGCATCAGAACCTATTGTTAATGAATGTGATGTGATGAGTTAAATTATTTGCTTGTCAAGTTTCAGAAAGTAACATACAGTTTCTTGGTTATCTGTCTTATGTCATACAAAATAAGTAAAGTAAAAAAGTAAAAAGCCTAGCTAAAGTTCTCACAGTGGAAACAGCTGGAAGACCAGAGTGTTTTTAGTTGAAAAAATGCTTGTATGGAAAATGTCTTCCACTAGACCATCACTGACTAGGTAGAACTAAGTGCTGTCTGGTCCGTCAGCTTAAGGTCATACATCTAAATTTCTGTTAGGAGTAAGCTTTTCAAGCTTTGATATCTTTCATGCCTTCTACACTAGAAATGCCAGCATATGCAGCACTTAGTATTAAACATCTGCTACCTCGTGTTGGCAAAAATCACAGAAGGTGATTCTTATGATTTAGCCCAAATGTCCCAGGGCTAAGAACAATTTTTTTTCAGTGTATACTTTGCCTGTGGTGGATTTTGTGGTAGTTGTTAAACTCTTTTCTTCCCCTAAATCAATAGTGGGCTGGAGGAGGAAATCACAGGTAGCCTGTCCCCTAAGCATATGGTAGTGTCTCCTTTCATGCTTACCATATGCCCTGCACTGATGTCAGTTTAATACTTGCAAATAATTTCTCATCCTTCTCCTTCCCCCCCCCACCTTGTAGGCTTGTGTCAGCTGGAGCTACCAAAGTTTATGCCATCTTAACTCACGGGATCTTTTCTGGGCCAGCAATTTCTCGGATCAACAATGCCTGTTTTGAGGCAGTTGTAGTCACAAACACAATACCCCAGGAGGACAAAATGAAGCAGTGCCCTAAAATACAGGTGAGCGTCTGCTTTCCCTTCTGTCACTCCTGGGGGGCAGAAGTGCTTGTCTGTCCTCCTGTTGGTGGGAAAACCCTGTAAAACTGTCTTGTGCTGACAGCAGTGTCATTGACACTGGAATCAGTGGCAGTGTTGACTAGTTCTCTTGTTGCTGTGGTATAACAGACCTGTTGCACTGATAAAATGCAGCTTCTGATCCAGCTCATTGTAAGCAGTTTAAGTACATTTTTTTTCAGGGCTTGTTTTACCTAGATCAGATCACTGATCTAATGAGGCCATGATGTAAGCAAGCAGTTTTACCTGTACGCTCTGAAAGAGTGATATGCTGATGACCTGTGATACTGAAGCAGAAGTAGGTGGGAACTTCAAAAGTTGGTAATGCCAGCTTCAGTTGTGTATCTATCACCTGATGCCCAGCCCTTGAAGCAGAGTGTCCCTTCCCTTTCTGAAGCAAAGTAGGCCTGGTCTGGGGAGGGTGAATGCTTCATACCTGGTCACAACAACAGTGCAGGTGAGTTGAGCAGTGAGAGGGAGCGCAGTCTTGTCCCACAGACATGTCTTGCTGCTTTGACTGAGAGCAGTTGACACAGCTGCTCCACAGTACAATGTTCAGATACTTGCCAAAGATACACAAAAACACTTTGCCGTCCGTATGAAAGCTAAAAGCTAGTCTCTTGGTGTTCACTCTGTGTCTTGGGTTTTTCATTTAGGAAAAGTACTATGGCATTTTGTTCCCAAGCTGAGACTGACTTTTCCTGGAAGAAAAAAAAATTGGCTGTACAACTTGAGCTAGGCAGAATTTGAGGATTTCCTGTGTTAATAGACAGCTGGAAGTTGCAGTTTTACCTGAGCATTCAGGCATAATAGGTCCATCAGAAGCTTCAGGTACTGCAATAGCATACACATAATCAAGAATGTCCTAAATACTAGCTTCACAGCACAGATATATAGGACACAGCCATTTGGAGAAGTTCTGGAAAGTGAATGACACTGCTAAGACTCAGATAGTCGTAAGCGTAGGAGGTTCCCCAGTACTGGGGTTCTGGTGGTAAGGAAGCTTAGCTGGTGGAAGGAGAGGAAGACTACTTTGAGGGTGACAGAGCGCTGGAACAGTCGCAAGAGAGGCTATGGAATCTCCTTCTCTAGAGATATTCAAAACCCACCTGGACGTGGTCCTGTGCAGCCTGCCGTAGGTGAACCTGCTTTAGCAGGGGGGTTGGATGAGATTGTCTCCAGGGGTCCCTTCCAACCCCTGTGATTCTGTGACTCTGTGAAGCTGCAGTGAGTTTTAAGCTGCTTTTGGAAGTAAGTTATAAGCTGATTGCAAACTTCTGTTGCATTGCATTTTTTCAAGACTAACTTCTGGATAATATTCTTGCAACTGAGCACATCTAAAAGATGTCTGATGCTTCAACTTCTTTCCAAGTTACCAACTATAGTTAATATAGGTGAAATGCTAAACTGGAAATCAGTATGTAAATCGCTGTAGCCAAAGGTTGCAGTGGAGTACTTTTCAGTCTCTCACTTAACACTTCACACGTTTACACCAATGTCTGATGTTCAGTGTTGAGAAATACGGAACTAAAGCATTTGTTATGAATCTCGTGCTCTGTCTGCTCTGCAGCTCTTTTTTCTTTCCTTCAAACTATCCAGAAGAGAGAAATGTTAAATATGGATTTTGCTTATTTTCCTTAATGCACCATGAACACAGTGGTTGTTACTGAGACTGATATATATCAAAATGCCTTAGCTGCTGGGGTTCAGAGTGTTTCTGAGATTTCCCTTCCCTCCTGCCCAGTGGATTACCCAGCAGGTGGAGCCAGCACAGCGACTGGAGCTGGGCTGCAGCATGATACTGTCTGCCTTAGGCTGCTGGCAGTGATGGGAAAGCCTGACGACTCAAGGGAAGGGGTGTGACCTTTTTTTAGACTCCACAAACTTCTCTACAACCTACACAGGGTGAATAAGGTAGTCCTATGGTAAACAGACTGCGCTTAGGGAGTCTCAGCAAAGGAAGGTGGCACAGACTGTCATCCTGACTAAGATTAAATAATTCTTGTGGTGCTCTATGTAGAGTATCTTCAGAATAATATGTAACTAAATTGCAGTCCTGTGTAGAAGTCATTTCTCTGCATCTGGCATGTTAGAAATTTGGGTGATGAGTTTTCGTTTTAAGTTCTTCCTAATTTACCAGCCATTCTTCCAGGCTCAATGTCGTCTTAGTGATGCTGATGCATCTTTTCTTACCCTCCAGGTGATTGACATCTCAATGATCCTTGCGGAGGCCATCAGGAGGACTCATAATGGGGAATCTGTCTCCTACCTATTCAGCCATGTCCCGTTATAACAACAACAGATGCCAGCTGCTGCTTGTATGGCTTTTTTTAAAACCAAAAGTTGTTCAGCTTGTTGTAAAGTTCAGTAGAAGACTTCTGCTTGTTCCAGTGCAGTTCTCCACAGCTCCTCCTGCTTAAGTCAGGCTTACTGGCTCTGATCCCAACACTGGGAGGCTGGGGGGGGAAGCTCATCTCTGTAACACTCCAGCTCCACCAGCAACTCTGTGCATTGGGACTCATCAGTAGTATTGACTCAGTTCTGCAGATCTGTGGAGACTGGGACTGACACATGGCTAATTGCCGCAATTATTGGGGGTGGGGAGGGAGAGGGTTTTTCTGTGGGCAGGATTAGATGATCTGGCATGTGCACCCTAAATTGGGAAGTAGAGCTCCCTTGGACATGTTGATCTGGATCTACAGCAAGAGCCCGAAAGACTGCTGGCTGTCTTACCACTCTATACCTGACAGAAGCCCTTGGAGAGTGATAGGGAAGGCTTGTATCTTGGCCAAGCTTGACCCTAGGTGAAGCCCTGGGGGACACCTGGGAGGCGGTTCTGCTACAGCTTCCTCCCATGAAAGGAGATCAATGTAGCTTGCAAACTTGAATTCATCATAATTATTGATGAAATTAAATGCCCTTTAGCATGCTACACAGCAAAGTGAAGGTGAGAGCGTAGTCTGTGCAGTACTGCCTTGCTGTGTTAACTTAGTGGTGAAGGTGCATCCTGCACAAGCATTCCTCTCCCTCTGATGTAGAGGACTCATTGTGTGTGCTTTAGTTTCTAGTGTAGACTAAAATCAGTTCCTCAGTTTCACATTTTACTGTTAGCCTTGCTAGTGACTAGGGGACTGCTGGCATGTACTATAGCTGCACCTTGACTTGCTGTGCAAATCCTTGATCCTTTTTTTACCAGTACAGTAGTAAACTGAGCCTCTTTATCCTGTAGTAGCTTGGTTGTTGCATCTAGCAAGTGCCTGCTCAGATGCTGGGATGACCTGATACGCAACAGCTTTGTGTCCAGCTGTCTTAGCCTCTCATTGCCTGCAATCCTGTTGTCCTCTAAGTTACTGACACATTCTGGTTGCTTGTCCTGGTCACTGTCTGCCTTGCCTTGAAAGTGTTGCTCCTGGCAAAAGATCTTAAACCAAGGAGCATAGGAGGTTGCAGGTCTACAAAACCTGAAGATGCCCTTGGAAGTGAGTCTGATGCTGCTAATGAGTCCCTATGGCAAAGGGTTGAAGAGGTTGGTGATACATAGTACTGGGAAAACTGTAGATCTAACATCAACTTGACAGGCAGCAAAGTGCCTGAAAGAAAAATACCAAAAGTAGAGCTGGCTGAGGCTCCCAGATGTAGTTAGTATCATCTGAAACTTGAATACTTCGTAACTGTACCAGACAATCGTAAGGTAAACTGTTAAGTCTCTCCTGGATGCTTATGATGCTATAGACCAAGCTGTTTTATGCTCTGGTTTTTATAAGCACTCCTCTTTTATTTGTTTTTGAGCTGGAGGAAGGGAAAAAGGGACAAGAAGGAACTTGAAATTACTTGCTAGAGTAACTAGCATGGCTTTGAGAGTCTAGGGGCTGGGGTATAGGTGGAACTAGCTGAAAGACTTGGTTAAGATCTAGGGAAGTACTTCTTTGGTTGTGCCTTTGCTGAAGACTTCTCTCCCTTCCTAGAACTGTCCTGTGGCAACTTTAACTCTTCTATTACAGTGTAGGGTTTTTCTTTTTGTATAAGGATTGGTGTTTGTCTGGAAAGTGTGTGTCTCTTGCTTCTTTGCTTTGCATCCTGCACTGAGCTCTACCGAGAGTCTGATTCCTGCCTCCTGTATTGGACCCCTGCTGCTGCACTGCCAGTGCCCTGAGAGCCAAGAGCCAGGACATCGGAGCAGCGGTGTGAGGATTTTCAGCAGCATTTGTGTTCAAACTTAAGACCTGATGAAGGAATTAAAATTTTATTTAAAAACCACAGGCTCTGCCTATAAATGCTTCTAAATCCTTGAGAAGGTGCTGTGCGTTTTCTGAGTTGTCACTTGCAAGGTAGATCATGGAGTAAGGTTATTTGGAGAGGACCTTGGAAGGTCATCTGGCTTAACCCTCTTGCAGCAGGGCTGACTGATGTTCAGCTTGGCTGTGCTCATGCTACATGGAAGCAGCAGCTTGGGACCAAGCTATGTCTCTTAGTGGGTAGTGGCTTTTGTCTGTATCTGGTTTCCTAGCCTTAGTTGTTAGAGGTGGTAGTGCAGTTTCTCTTGTACTGTTCACTTATGTATCTGAGCAGATCTGTTCACACAGTGTTCAGGTAGGGGAAAACCTGAATAGCAAGTATGAATGAAGAATTGCTAAGTATCTTGCACAAAGCTAATGATTGGAGGGAACAGGATTATGTCCTGAGAAGCACTTGTTCTAACTAAACCCTGATCCTTTCTCATTGTGTGTTGTAGACTGGAAGAGTATAAATTAAGTCAGAAGGGTGAGATGGCAGGTATAGAGAAAAATCTTTGGCTTTATAATAGACTTCCAGGCCTAGATTGAACATTGCTTCAGGAAACACAACCATGGCCTCAGGTGGAGTTTTGCTGAGGATCACTACTGTCGTTTGTCTGTTAAAACATATTTCAGTACTGGTCAATGAATAAGAGAAACTTTTCTCCCTCAAAGGGGGGTGATGTGGAGCTGGCCAGGGTGATGTAACGGACTTCACCTTCCTGAGAGAAGTGGAACATGAGCTTTACAGCCAAAAATTTGTACAAAGGTGACTGCCATTGGTGTGTATATATTGTTTTCTTGGTTACTTTAATAAAACCTGAGGGCTGGAATTGGTGAAGGCAGAGGTTTAAAATGCTGTATGACAGCACTGTAGCCCTTAAAAGGATAGGTGGTGCACAAGGTATGAGAACTGTCCCAAGGAGGTAAAGCTCTTCTGCTCTGTAAACCTCCTTCAGATCAGAGGAGCTGGGCACTTTACCAAAGTTCCTTCCCTGAATTAAAAAAAAAAAAAAAAACCACCTTCCTAATTACTGAAACCTATTTGTAGGCAGGTTGTGACTGACTGACTAGAAGTGACTGCTGTGCTACTAGAGTATGGCTGCCTTTGACACATGCATGTAGAATTCTTCCTGTCCAGGACAGTCATGGACCAGGCAGCTGTGGGAAGGGTGTCCCTTCACTGTAGCGTGGGCTGTGAGGAAGCCCGCCCCTGAGGTATGAATGGCGGAAAGCCCAGTTCATCTGGTGTCTTCCAAGTCTGGGAGTGATGCGGGGATGCTCATCCCTTAACCCAGGGAAGTTCAGCTCCAGCAGCACTGGCTGTACTGTGACGTGCTTGTGCTATCTATAGCGGAGGTGATACTCCAGCATGTGCCAGAGAGCTGCTGGAGCGAGTAAGGAGCATGCAGGGTGCTCTGGAGGGGAATTGCAGGGCGTCTTCTCAGGCTTGCTGTGTAGCTGCTGAAGAAATCCCATAGAAAGCAAGTCATTACTTCCTCAGGAGAAAATCCGAAGCAAGTAAATAGCTGTGCATTTGTAGTTGGAGAGCTGGAAGAGCAGGACAGCGCTGGAGCGTGGCTGCAGGAGTGCAGATGCTGATACAGGTGCCAGAGGCTGTCTTGTGTCTTCTGCCTGCTGTACAAGCAGCAGGGAACACATCAATCGAAAGTCCTGCATCTTAGCCCAGCTCACCTGCCTGGGTAGCTGAAGCTAGCGTGCAGGGTGGGGATGCCTTAAGCCACTGTGAGAACTGGGCTTACCATTTGTGCCTTGCAGGCAGCAGAACTTGCCTACTGTTAGGAGCAAGTCGAGACACATCTCAAACTGCTCTCGCCAGCAGCTCCCTCCTGCTGCTGCTCCCTGTGCCTGCCTAGCGTACAGACAATTTCTCATCTCCTAGAGTTGGTGTTGCTGTGATCTAGAGAAAGCAGCAGCTTGCCTTGCTGCCGTTGGGCGATGAGCAAGTAGTTAGGGGTTAACAGAAAGCCCTTCTCTAAACTGCAAGGAGCAGCAAAATCCACAGGAGGAATGAGCCCTGGTGTAAGACACGAGGCCAAGTGTGCTGGCTGCCTTCCTGGGGCGCTCTGCCCCCGCCCCGGTGGAAGGAAGGAAGGGGTCATGGCAGGACACCAGGGTTACAAATGAGCTGGAAAAAGCAAACTGTGGCCCTGCGGAGTAGGGGGACGGGGTCACAGCGGGGCAGCGGTGGCTGACGGGGCGCGGGTTGGGCTGGCTGCGGTGGTGCCCAGCCTGTCCCTGCAGGCAGGAGGCTGAAAAAAACCTCTCTGACAGAGAAAGCCTCCTGCTGCCTCCTTCCTGCCGAACAGAATAAAGCGCTCCTGGAAATGGCCATTAGCGAGGCTCTATCTGAGCCCTGGCAGCCGTGTTCTGTGGGAGATTTAGAATTCAGCTAAAATGGCTGGCAGTTGTTCTTCTCTATTTCAGGTCAGGGCTGTTTTCACTTTGCCTCCATCTGTTGATGTCTCGGTTCTTTTGTTATAAATTATTGAAAGCAGAAATACCAAAACGCATGAGAAAGAAGTGGATTGTGCGGTTACAGGAAGCTTTGCAAATCTGTCAGGGGAAAATGCTCTTGCTGGGATGTAAACTCCTTTCTTGTTCTTTGTGCAAAATGGGTTTTTAAAGCTCCCCAGCAGCAGCCCCACACCTTGCTGGCTGCAAATGCGGAGGGTTGGCTTGAAAACAGCTCTGGCTGTGGTTTGTAGGAGCGTGGCATGCTGGCTTGGGGAAGGGGAGCTCCCCTTCCCCTGCCTGTGCGGCCACCGCAGCGGCTTTGTGTCCAGACAAAGACCCCGGGGGCTGCAAAGCGCTGCGGCTTGGGGGA